ATGTTCATGAGAATATTCCATTTTCAAGTATAGATTAAGAAATGAGTCAACAGGAGAATTGCTCTATTGAAGATGCTACTGTAAGATTTAAAAACAGAAATTGTGGGCTTGGGAGTATTCAGTAGAGTTGATCTGCTTCAGTCTCCAAGGACTATCAATGTCTCACTGTTACCTTTTCATCAAAATTCATGCTTTCATGGATCTTCTCCATTGTCAAGAAGCTTGAGAGGTCTACTGTGCAAGGTAAGGTGATTCACCACCACCTTAAGGAGATCAAGGTCAACCTGATCTACCTGATACCTGACATTTAACTAAAGGCATCTCTGACCTTTGGGATTGTAATACCCTGTAAAATTATAATGTTACAAAGTAATCTCTAACATACTGGTATTATTAATTGGTTGTATGTACTCATGGGAAGAAAAAGTTAGAATAAAGGCCAGCACTTCCCTAGTATCTCTATGATCTCCATACCCACTACTCCACAAATCCACTCAAGAATGTATGAACCTAGAGCTCCACCCACCTGAAGCTGGCTCTCCTCTCCTCATCTGCAGCTATCCATCATGTGAACCAACTGACTTCTAAGTCTCCTCTGATTTCTTGTTTTAGTTTACCTTTCCTTTTGTGACCCCAAAAGGAAATAAAAGATGTACCTCTAATATGATTTAGACTGTGATGTCTACCCTAACAAGATCACTTCCATGTGTCCTGTAGACCGTGAGCCTTACACACCAGTCAATCCTCACACACCTGACAGAATACTCTCTGGAAAGTGGTGTTCATTTAGCTGAATTAGATGTGAGACTCCACAGCTTTTTCCAGCTGTATCACACAAGGGTGTTTGAAATCCAGGAGAAAAAAAATGCAGGCTCTTTGTTAACTGGACATATGGTACACAATCCCAGTTTGCATAAGAATCTACAGAAAGAAGGTTGAATCCTAATGACCCCTGGAGACCAATTAAATTGAGCTTTATCTCTTAGCCACAGAATGTATCTCCAGGTGCAAAACAACATCCCTGTTAAAAATCTTCAATATGGTCATGGTCCAGATACTGTCTTTTTTTCCATTTACTCACCTGTGACTTAAATGCCTTCTAAAATTTAAAATCTAACTAACCTACCACACGTTCATTTCTGTCCTAGACAAGCATCAATGCAAAACAAATAGACAAGTGAGATCACTTGCTCCAAAATCTACACCATCCATGGTTTAGTTCATGCTTAACATTTGGTCTGGCTCCCCCTTCCTCCATTCTCCCCAGGATAACAGATCAATCACATTGATGTAAAGAATTGAACACATACAGCTTATACTGATTTGCCCAATTTTAGAATCCACTTGAACAAATCACATATTCTGTACCTCAATTCTCAGTTGTTACAGAAATGATCCTCTACAGGAAAATATTTGATTTACCATCTCTGCCTGCTACCAAATGGATGAATCTAACTCAAAAGATTAACGATTCCACTTCCTCTTACACAACTTCTAGAACAATAAAATTTTGGTTGACTTCCATTTGTCTCATTCTTTCTCTTTGACTCAATTGGTTCTAGCCTTGGGCAGGGACTTGGTCTACTGACCCTCTCAAACATTGGTTGTAAGATGCCTGAAGATAAGAATCAGCCATCTCTGCTGACATGGAGCCTAAATACAAAGTATGGACATGAGCAACGCTAGTGAAGCTAAAAGAAAAACAGGCTTACAGAGCTGGTTTTGAAAAAGTTGCCCCAACCTGATGCATCTTGCTTCTCTGTAAAAGCAATGACACCATGCTATTTTTCTCCCAGCAATATTGAAGACTAACTTCAGCAGGGAGACAAAAAAATTACGTGTATCTGTGCACATTCTTCATAGTGATTCATGCTCTGCTTCAGATCACAGTGGCTTGAGGTTTTAAATGGCCAAGGAGGTTCAGCTTCCCTTTCTTAGCAGAATATCACAGTAGCAAACTTGCCCACAGTGTCAAGGAAGTCAGAGACATGGGGGCTTCTTGTTACTTGACTATAAAATCATCTGCAGCCACGTCTGCCATCTGCTGTTTGGATCTGACCATAGGGGCATCAATAAATATCTCATCTCTATCACCTGACTTGTGCAAGCAGGAACTCGTAATGGCCTCAGTCTTAGGAACATTCACCTAAACACTCCCCCAGGATGTGAGTCATTTTTAGTAATAAAAGTATATTTCTTTTTCCTGGTGTAGTTACAGGCATGAGAATGTAAGTGTACTGAAGTTATTTGTCTCTACCCATTTTCACAACAAAAGAAATCTAGGACATTTCCCCAAGTGGGACCTTGTCATTAAAGGGAATCACGTTAACACTTGTCAGTTATGTCCTAGGAAATGAGGGTATTCCTGCTGCTTTTGTAGAAGTAGAATGACATCCATTCCTCTTCTTCTAAAACACATGTACTTCCATTTATACCATGCCTTTGGGTTACCACACCTCTACCTAATAGCACAACTATAATACAAACTATTTCTGCCACTCTCAATAACTGAGTAGCCAACGTTATACCACTGTATGGAGGCTAGAGCTTAGCAAAGCACTATTCTGGGGAGATCATTGTCAAAAGCACTTACCTTGCTATTTTAAAAGCTTCTTTTCATTCTGCCCAAAGGAACATCCTCAAGTGAACAACAGCTCAGGGAGCCCATCTTAGGCCCCACCTGGAATAAACAACTCAAGCATACAACCTATGTGGATTTGACCACCAGCCACTGCTTGATACTAGACAATAAGACACTCCATCTTTATCTCCATGTGGTCAGCCAGGGCCCATCACTGTTCCTAGTCCCGCCTATCCAAGTGTGCTCTCCCTCTCTCTGTCTGTCTGTCTGTCTGTCTGTCTGTCTGTCTGTCTGTCTGTATCTCTCTCTCTCTCTCTCTCTCTCTCACACACACACACACACATACACACACACATACTACACACACTCACAGAATCACAGAAGCATAACAATGCACCACTTCCTCAAGGTCACTGAAGCTAGTTCATTTCTAGTTTCTATGTGAAATCTCTTAAATTGTAAGAGAGATTACTCTTTAACTGATGATTGCATTTTATGAAACAGAACAATATATGTGGCCTGCTCATATTGGAGCCCAGTCTTTACCCTGCATAGCTGTTGGCATCTGATGACACTTTCATGCTTAGCAGTGACAAACTGCATTAATAAATAAGATTTTCAAATAATTTAAGCACATAGCTAATACTATTTCTACCTGGAGTCCATAAGAAAAAGCACAGTTTAAAAAAGATGCCTAAGTTATGGATTAGACTACGCACCTTCATTTCTGGCATGTAATCATGCTATATATACAAGATCATCTCTGTTGAGGCAGAGACCACACAGATGTTTTATCTCCCACCTCATAATAATCTCACAAAGAATCTCAATTTTCCTGGAATTGAGTGACAGTGAATATATATCTCTTGACCCAAAACAAAGTTCTTCTTCTTTTTGAAAATGTAAAAGATTTTATTGAGCAAATGGTGCTGATGCACCAGGACCGCACCTGGAGTTGGGATCCCAGGAAAAAACCCCTAGTGACAGCCCATATTGGCTTTTCAAGCATTTGGGGCTAGGGCAGGGAAAGGGGGAGGCTGGGTGTTGGTTTTAGCCAATGATAGTTACAAGGAATTTGCACTTTAAATTTCCCACCAAGGTTTTGCTGGTGGGAAGCAGGGGAATAGAACAAAGGGTGGTGATGGTTCCTCTGGGTTAGGGTGAGCATTGCTCAGAAAAGAGCAGAATCAGACATTAGAGTTACAGGGTTACAATTACAGTTACTAGCTAACATAGCTAGTTACCAGGGAAATCTTATCCAAGCACACTTACATTTATATCTTAAAATTGTTCATTATCCATTTTACACAATCCAAATTAGATATTACATTCCATCTTTACTTCCTCTACCATATCATTTTCCCCTTTTGTTTTGTCAGGGGTCAAATCTTTGTCCCCTGAGTATCCTTAGCTAAGGGTATATACTGGGAACACAGGATCATGAGTTTTACACTGGAGCTAATGTACATAGAGTCAGGATTGGTGCGCTGATGTGAAAGTATTCATTATGTCTATCTGTATGGTGGGGTGGGCCCATTTCAACTTAGACACTGGTTTAGTTCATAGAGCAGCCCCCGCTTTTAGGTCAACTACTGGTGGGAGTAGGAATTGCAGGATCCACAGCATGGGGGAGGCCAGCCCTGATAGTTGGAGATAACAATCTCAGAGAACTAAGCATTGAGGTAGTCTTAGAAGCATGCAAAACCCTCTTGGCTAAAAAGCTAGGTCGTCTCATTGGCAGAAGTAATCCTCTAAAATGGCCAGGGACTAGACTTCCTTTTCATGGAACAAGGTTTATGCATGGCCTTAGGAAAGGCCTGCTGCTTTTATACAAACCCATGTGATATAATTAGAGATCCTTTAGTCAAAGTAAGAGAGGACCTGTGTGCAGTGAGGACAACTGGCAATAATCCTCAAATTGGTATCAAAGCTTCTTTGATTGGAAACCATAGATAAGGACTCTTATCTCAACCTTAGCCATGGGTAAGGACTCTTTCCCTGACCTTAGCAGGGCCTCTAATAATAATTTTAATAGCCCAGACAGTGGGACCATGCCTGGTAAACACACCGATTAAATATGTTTTTTAAAAAAGTGGGGCTGTGGCTCAAGTGGCAGAGCACCAGCCATGAAGGTAAAAGCTCAGGGACTGCACTCAGGCCCTGAGTTCATGCTCTAGGACTGGTACCAAATAAATAAATAAACAAACAAATAAATAAATAAATATGTAAAGGACCTTGTACACTAAAATGCAGAACTAAATATATCCAAGACCATATTAGTTCTCTAAAACCCAAGACAAATTTCTTAATGGCACAGCTGAGATAGGCATCCAAAACTCCAAAACTTGTGTTTAGACTATTAAGACTCATGACAAGTAAAAGACATCAACCCAGTAAAAGGCCAACTTTGGCTCCATACCTCATATAATTCGATAATAATGTTTCCCAGTAGACCTCGGCTGCTCTTAATGTTCTCCATAGCCAGGGTGAAGTAGATACCACGTGTGTCCGAGATGTAGAGGTTGTAGGTGTCGTTCTGATTCCATTCTTGCACTGCTGCAAATACTTGATTTTCATCAGTGCTGATGATGTGCATGTCCTGTATAAGAAAAGGTCCTGTAAGGCAGCAGATCACCGTATCGCTCTTCTCGTTGGGTCCTGAAGAAGTACTATGACTTATTAATCAGTTGAGGACAGCTTGAGTTTTAGGCAAATATTAAACCATTCTATGTTAGATGAAGGCTATAAATTATGAGCTCCATAGTTTCTGCTCCTTGCTAAGTAACAGGAAAATAGGTATAAGGAACTTTTGGAGGGGATCATTTTCCATGGCTTCAAGGATTCATCCACTTTGTTTTATTTTTATATGTAAAATGTGTTAGGGCTAACAGAGACATACAACTTTGCAAAAGGAAGCTCACGCATGCAAAGGAAGCAAGACCTATAGTCAACTGATTTGCATTTATAGTTTTAAATTTTGTGGTGTCGTGGGTTGTGTTTTTCTTTGTAATCTTCGGCATCAAGAAGGGTGACATGGAGCAACAGCCAATGAGTCTGGCTTGAAATCTCCAAATCTGCTTCACAGCTGCACCATCAAGAGCTGTTCTATACAGAGGAATACTGGCAAGTAGTTTAGAAGTAAAAGGTAATGAAGGGCCCAGTACTAGTAAGATGAAATTACCTTTGAAACTCATTCATGTAGAGTAAGTGATATTCAATATGGAATTTAGTGTGCTGTATCCCACTATAAACACCTAACATAACCACTGCAGAGGCCAGCTGTATGACTGTAGAATATGTTTGTTTCCGTAGATTTCAATTTTCCCTCCTCAATAGGGAAAATATTGGGTCATCAATAAAATGCTTAGTATTTGGGCACATTTCTAGATGTATTTTTTGCAATTAATAGTCAATAGTAAGATTATTTCCATTTCATACAGGCACGCAGTGCTCCACCAAATTGCTTCAGATTATATAGCTGACAAATGGAAGAATTCAATTTTGAACATCTGTTTGAAGCTAAACTAATGATTAGCTTCTAACAAGTTGGATACATAGTTTCTAGATCAGAGATTTCATACTGATGGCCAGGGAATACTGACTGCAAATGTTATTTTGCCTTATCCTATATTGAATATGTAATCTGTGGACTTGCACATGGAGTCTTAGGCCCCTAGCTCTCCATCCACGTATGTTGTTATGATCAACCACTTGAATGTTGACATTAACTTCGTGGTCTCTGAATTCATTTCAGTTAAGAATCCTGGCCTGGATCACTTCTAAAATCACATTGAGTAGTTTCACAGTTCAAAATTATTTTTAAAAGCCAGTTTGCTTTTGCTTTGGTGGCCAGGAACTGTATAAAGATCTTCACAATTTAAACCTTTTATCTAGGGAGCCTAGTCTATAAAGTTTCCAAAAGCACTCTATATTTTTACAAAAAAATGAATGAATATAGTTTTATATTAGACAACTGGGAGGTAGGGGAAGTAAGCAAACAAATTCTAGATCCTTTATTGGGGATTCTTTGACAAATGGCCTCTGGCCTTGAACTCTCTAGGTCACCTTGACTAAGAACTTACTTGCTCATTTGTGCTTACACATCTTGTAGAATTACAAGCTCCTGCTGGGCTGTTTGAAAATGGAAAGAAGTCTTACTCTTTAAAACCATGTGATGAAATCGTGTTGGGTTGGTGTGGAATGAATGCCCAAGAACCCAGTAGGAGGGGAAATAGCAGCTGCAGGAACTACAGATTAAATTCACTTACCCTGTTAAAAATGCAATAGAAACTCCTGACTTTTCCCAGATGTTTTGGTCATAAAAATGAATGAGCTAAGTTATTTTAGACTAAACTAATGTAAAAGAAGTAGGAATAAACAACTTAAAACACCAGGGCACGGTCAGGATTAGATATAGCCAGGTTTGCTATGAATGCATATTAGGTAAATGCTGACTTGGGGCTATGCCAGCTGGTGAACAGGTATCAAGGCTCTTGGGAGAGAGCCTTGGTACCTCATGTGTCTGGCATTCTGAGATGTCTGCCTACGAAGTTCTCGATTGTTCAAAGTCATTCAACTAACAAATGGCGATGCTATGATTTAAGCACAAGGCCTTCTTAACCAAAAAAAGAACTTTTCAACCTAATATTGATATAGCATAGGTGTGCAACAAAATGACCTAGAAAATGTGGCCAGTTTCTTTTTTTTCTGCTCATTCTGAAGAGCAGAAAAAAGTAGGTTTCCCATGCTGGCCTTCAACTTCTGGTTAGGCTCAAGTGATTCTCCCATCTCTCCACCTGCCAACGATCTGGGATTACAGAAGTGTACCACCAGGATTCCCCAAATCCCAATAGGCTACAAACTCCATACCACTTGTTGAGATCATGAATTAGTTGTCTGGCATAGAGCTGTAGTGCTATCTGAACAAGTCCACCATATGAGTCTGATATAACTTGAGCCCAGGGAATCCCTTTTGAAAAAATTCTCAACTACATGAGTTGTCTCCAAATGGGTTTCTTAGTTGAATAGGGGTCATCAGAATACTGTCTTCAAAATCAAATAAAAATGTATTAATTAAAATTTGTCTAAAAGGATTCTGAACAATAATGAAGTTTTCTATTCTTTGTCTAGAATCCAGATAGATACCTCAAACTCTAAAGGATGTGTCACTTTCTTGCTTGCTGGTTCTGAGAACACGCAGTAAGAAATTTGGTAATATAGGTTGGGAACTTAGTATAACTTAGAATTTGAACAGCATCAGACATAACTACTTTCATGTTTTGATATGGAAAACAGTGATGGGTACTATTCTTCCTCCTAGCAATGATTTGGGAAAATTAGAATTGCTTTCTGAAAACAAAAACCCATGACCCTTTAGGTAAACAATGATGGCAGTGCTTCCCTGTTCTTACTCATCTGGGCATGCTGTAATTTTACTCATTATGGAATCATTATTTGCCATGTGTCAGTATTAAGTATTTTCCATGTGTCAGTATTTGCCATGTATCAGTATTTGCCATGAGACTGAGAGAAGAAGAAAGGTAACAGCTAACCCTAAGAAGATTCCCTCCTGATGGGAATGACATTACATTCCAATGTGACCCCTCTCAAACCTGACTACATGCCACACTAGGGGCACTGAACCAGGTGACTAGAATGACAAGGCTACCAGATGAGAGAGGGTAGGATATTTGAAGAAATAAATCATAGAACTCATTCCATGTGGAAAGTAGTTTCCCTTCCAGGAAAGGAGTACAGGGGGAGGGGGCAGAGGGGAGCTCCATCAACAGGGGCTCTGTGCAGCCCACTGGACCTTCACTCCTAAAGGAGTACAAGGCATGCATAAAGTTTCAAGTGGAAGAAAGAATGATGAGAGCTGATGAATGTAGATCAGAGGTTGGGAGATTATCAGGTTCCCTGTGTGATCATATTCATTGTGAGATCAATGTGAAGATCAGGTGAAGAAAGGCAATGGTTAACTAGATCTGTCCTTTATATTTTTCAATTCTGCAAAAATACAATAAATTCTTGTCTGCATTCTGCCTCCTTCCTCCCTTCATTTTCCTATACCACTTCCCTTGGTCCCCAACCTACATACCCATGTACATACCTATTTTCTGGTACGTATTTTTGGGGGGCTTTGACTTAGTCTTTTAAAGAATTATACTATTTATGCTCTTCATAGTCTATTACACTTCTCTATGTTTGGCTTACTTCACTTAATATAATTTTTTCCAAGTCTTTCCATTTCCTTATGAATAATACAGTATCATTTTTCATAAGTGTGTAGAATCCCATTATTCCATATATATAAATACATACATAAATATATATACACAGATACATACATATATATCACATTTTTGATCCATTTATCAATTGAGAAGCATCTATCTGGGATGATCCCGTATCTTGGCTATGGTAAATAATGCTGTGATGAACATGGTTGTGCTTGTAGCTTTAGTTTTGTTTGTAATCTATTGTAGAGAAGCCCAGGAGTGGAATTTCTTGGTCATGGTAGCTCCATGTTTAGTTTTTTTGAGGAACCTCAATACTGCTTTCCAGAGCAGTTGAACAAACTTACATTCCTACTAGGTGTAATAGAATTCCATTTGGCAACATCCATGCCAGCATTTGTTATTAGTTTTGTTGATATTGGCCATTCTAACTGGAGTGGTACTTCAATGTTGTTACAGCATAAGGCTAAAACAACCTGGGCTTAGAATGTCAGGTAATCAGGTAGCATGATGAAACAATTGAACATGACATTATTTTCTTTGGGGTCAAATGATTCTCAGAAGAGCTGTTATGGTGAAGCTGTACCTCCTTGCACTGTTTGATTAAGCTCCCAATGTTTGCATATGCTTGAGGTGGGGTGTGGGCAGAGTCCAGGAACTGAAGAAAGAAGAAAAGTCCTCCTTAATTTTGATCAAGCAAATTACCAGGCATTTGTCCAGATAGGGTGAATAGGACAACAGTTTTCCAAATCACTTATGAGCTAAACAAGCAGTGAGAATCTGGCCTTATTATAGGTAAACAAGGCAGACATCTGAGATTTATCAAGCCATCTAGGGGAGGTGGCTCACAGCAGTAAGCCATCTCCCAAACACAAAACTGTGAGAGAATTTCTTAGGATTGGCTGTTTTCCAGGAGCATAGGGCTTAGGCAAAGCTCAAAACCATCCATTCTAATCTGAATCCTCTACAGAAAAAAACAAACAAAAAAAGCAAAAATATAACACAATTTTTTTTCTAGCAGAAGTGATTATTAAAATAGCAAGTTAAGAATATACTCAGGAACTTAAAAAGACAAAAGAGAGCACATCAGTCTCTGAGTGGTAAAGCAATGCCTTAGGCAATCTAGAGTTCAAAGTTGTCAGAAACAGAATCCCATCATAAACAGAGCTCTTCATGTTAGGAAGATAAGGGCACTGGCATTATTTTTTGTAGAAAAAATAGTTCTTTAGATTTTCTGATCATTTCACACCAGACCCAAAGTGATCCATTCAATGCATCTTCATAACTTGGTCAAACAGTATTATTGTCATCTCACAGTTGAGAAGCCCTGATTTCCTAGATAAGCAAAATGGCAGAAGTGAAAGAAAGCTTGAGTTTCTGTTCATATGTCAATTACCTTTTTCCTAGGTTGCCACTACTCCCTGTCACATGCCACCAGGCACTCCACTGGTACATGAGTTTCATAGCTAAAAACAAAGAGGGACCACCCAGTGCCAAGGGAATAAGTTATGGAGGATTGGGCACAAGTCCGCTTACTCTCTGCAAATTGTTCCAATTTGCATGCTCTAAGCAGATAGGCTGGGAACACGTACTCAGTGAGATGGGGGTCTTTTTATGCTTGTTATTTTAACCAAGACCCCTAACATCAGTCACAGGTCTTTATGGAACAACAACAACTTGCTTAAAAGCCATTTCCATTTTTAAACAATGGAAAGAACCAATCCATCACCACTCCCTCCTTGTTAACCTCAGTTACCAAAGAGATCAATAACTGTCCAGCTATTTTCACAGTTTGTCCTATTAGTGAGATGCTACACCGAATGGGATTGCTTGGCTGGGGTGATTCGCCCCACAGTAAGCTGCCATGAGGCTGCTAATCATTAATGGAATGCTGTATGGTGGCAATCAATTCAGGACCTAATTTGTCCCTACCTGCAGACATACTGCTTAGGGAAGTGAATTGTTTGTTTTCCCAAGAAGGTTTAAATTAAAAAGAATAATAAAATATATATGTGGAGCCTCACATCGGGAAGACTGGAAAGTTCCTCAATCTCCTTTCTTGGGCCATTTTTTGGAGTTTTTCAGGTTACTGTAGTAGCAATTTCCTTTTGGAAAAATGCAACTATGAATTTTCCTTTTCTAATCCTCTCCAGTAGAGAAAAACAGTTTAAATTGTTTGGGTGTAGGCTATCTCAAGGAGAGGGTACATCCTACAACCACAATTCTATGCAATAGTGCCATTAAAACCAGTCATAAAGAAGTTGCAGTAAGAGAAGGAAACAGTTTTGATGGCCTCTGAGCTTATTTAAATAACCCATGTTAGAGGCTTCCTTGTCAGCCTTTCAAAATGCCTTGCTTGTTAAATGAACCATGCTCTTTCTTAAAACAGGGCCCATGTACATACAGCCAGCCATCTGTATCCATGGATTCACAAATTTAACTTACTATGGATCCAAACTGAAGTTAAATTTGCATTTGTATCAACTATAGATTTCTCTTCTTGTCACTAACCTCTAAACAATATACCACAAAATCTGTTTATGCCATTTATAGCATATATATTATGTGAGGTAGTATAGAATGACATTGTCCCATTCGTAAGGAAATAGAAAGACTTGGAAAATATTATTTTATGTGAAGTAAGCCAGACCCAAAGAAACATAGGCTGCATGGTTTCCATTATTTGTAATAACTAGAATATGCCTATAAGTAGTTAATCCAATGGATAGTAAAGGACAAATAATTATGCTTGGACATGATTAAACAGTGTTCTAAGCATTTGCACACTGAGAACAAAGGAGACAATTCGTAGGAGAGGATCACATTGGCTCAATAGATATGTGTATATGACCATATAAAATGAGCTTATTGAAATGAACTCCAATAATTAGAAACAAGAGGTTTTTATTATTGTATTGTTTGAAATTATGTATTTTTTCTTCCTCTTTTCTCCTTTATTTTATCCCTGTGGTAACTGTTTTTGATTTCTGTACACTTTGACTTGTATGTAAGTTTATCTGATTTGGGGAAGGGAAGGGGCATCACAGAAACAGTGGGACAAAGGGTGAACCAATTCAACAATAATACTCACTAGATACTATTCCAGAAATGAACTTTACAACTTGGTGGGAAGGGGAATCGGTTGGGAGAAAGTGGGAGAAAATGAAGGAGAGGGTAATACTGTTCAAAAGAAATGTACTCATTATCTTACTTAGGTAACTGTAACCCCTCTGTACATAACCTTCACAATAAAATTTAAATTAAAAAAATGATTTAAAGTACCACAAAGGAAGTGCACAGGCGATATAGAAATACTGCACCATGATAATGAAGGAATTAAGCATTTGTGAATTTTATATTTGTGGGTGGGAGATCCTGAAACCAATCCTCACAGATAACAAGGACAATAATATTTTCTATCAACTTCTCCTTATCCATATTTGATCATTTAACTCTTTGTCTTTCTTGTATTGCTTTGTATGTGACTTTCCCTAGGATTCTGTCCTTTCTATCCACATTTAGTTAGCTGCTGCTTTTAAGATGGACTTTGAACTTCTACAATACCTTTCTGAACCTAAAGTTGCTTTTGTCATGACTCTTTTCTCTATTGGATTATAAACTTTAGGAAGAGATGATCATTTGTGTCTTACTACTCTAGTTAGAGAGTATGTTTGGTTTGGTGCCTGGCCCTGAGTAATTACTTAAATGGAAGAAAGAATAGTTAAATGCATGCAAAAAAAGAAAGGAAAAATGGTGAATAATATAGCAATGAATTTGGATGTGTAGGTGCCTTTATCGCATCCTGACTTGCAATCTTTGGCTAAATGCCCAAGAGCAATATTGTTCTGTTATAGAGTGCTTCTATCTTCAGGTTTTCTTGAGGAATCTCCATACTGCCTTCCATAGTGGCTACACTAATTTACATTCCTACCAAATGTATCTTTTTCCCAGCATCCTTGCCAGAATTTATTGTGGCTTATATGTTTAATGATGGTTATTTTAAATGGAGGAAGATGGTCTCTCAAGGTTCTTTGATTTGCATTTCTTTATGGCCAGAGATGGTGGCCATTTCTTCATGTATTTATTGGCCATTTTTTTCTTTTCAGAAGTATCTATTCATATCCTTTGCCCATTATTAATCAGACTATTGATTAAGCCTTTGTTAGATGTATACCTGGAAAGATCTCCTGTACTATCGACTGTCTTTTTACCTTAGTAACAGTATCCTTTGTTGTGAAGAAACTTTTTGATACAAATCCCTTTTTAAACTTCACTCTCCTATTTGTTGAGTCCCTGGAATTCCTGAGTAGCCATGAATTTCCTGCCTATGTCAATCAGGTGCAAAGTTTCCCCTATTCTTTCCTGTCTTATGTTCACAGTTCCAGGTCTGCATTTGAGGTCATCGATTCATATTGAATTGATATTAGTACACTACTCACCATAGCCGAGTTATGGAAATAACCCAGACACCCTACAACTGATGAATGGATCAAGAAAATGTGGTATATGTACAGTATAATTTTCTGGTTCTTCCCCCAGAAAGAATAATATTTTTTCATTGGCAAGAAAATGGATGGACCTGGAAAAATTATGTTGAGTCAAGTAAATCAGGCTCAGAGAGTCAAATGATGAATATATTCTCTCATATATGGAAGTTTGATCTGAAATTGAAACACATAGGAATATTTGCATATATACATAATCAAATCAAAGGTTTATGTGGGGGTGGATATCCATGGTGTAATCCCTTTGAACAATGAACAGACAGTTTAACAAAATGAATACCAGGATCCTGAAACGTGTCTGATGGAGGAGGGGATTGAGGAGAGAGGGGTGGATGAGGAGAGAGAGGAGTGCTGGGAAAATATAATCTTAACACTCAATGTACAAATGTAAAAATGGAACTAGAGAACTTGAGGGGTTAGGTATGTTTGGGATAGATGGGAAGAGAGTACTGGAAGGGATAAACTGATCAAGAGGCATGGTACACACGCATTGACATGGTGACCCCTTTGTACAACAAATGATTTTTGTTAATAAGGAACAAATGAATGAATACATGTGTTCATAACTAGCCAAACAAGTAAATTTTAAGGAATATAAAAGTATCTACCTTCTCTTTGCCTAATCCTCAACTCTGTACTCCCTTAGCTTTTCACGAGGTTTCCTGGTGCCAGATCATTGGCCAACCTCTTTGCCACATTAGAGTTGGTGGGTCTCCAACTGGACACTGAGCTCCTGATTAATTAATGCAATTACACCCTGTCCCTACTCACACTGAAGCTGTAAGACTCATCTCCCCCAGGAAGTCAATGCTCACAACAAATGGCGTTCACAGAGTAAGTTTTATGATTTTCCAATAGAGGAGCTAAATGTCATCATTGATATTAACATTCCGGTAAATTAACTCCTTTTAATTACTCACCGTGGTAGAGGGGAGTGGAAACACAGACAATGCACTTACAGTCTAGTCTTAAAATGTAAAGAGAAGCAAGAAAACCATCAGACTCATCTACGCTATGTGCTTAGCTATGTGCCGCAGCTGTGCGTGCTTCTGCCTGAGCTTGACCTTCATATTGCAGGTAAGGCCTTTGCAGAAGGGAGGTGCCTCAGAAGAGACTGGTATCAAAGCCAGCACTGGATTTGGACCACTCACAGGAAATCAAAGTTCATGCCTGGAAGACTGCTGAGAGGAGAATGTAAAACCCAGGTTCAGCAACATCAGCAATGGTCAATCCACTTAGGAGTAAGTCAGATTCAATGCCAGCAGCTTAGGCTTCTTACAACCAGGGTTCCAGGGCTGCCCACAGTCTCTCAAGGCAGCTCGCAAACCCAGGCTTTGTCTAGCAGGAGTCAGTACGGCAGGGGGTGCATGCAGTACCTTTGGCAAGGAGTACTTGGGCAGCTTTATCTGAGCAAAGGCCTCTCTTCGATAGGACACGTAGTAGCTGGCTCTTCCACCTGTTGTTACCTAGATCGAAGGGAAATATAAAGATCAGAAGGGGCTCTCAGATCATGGAACAAATTGGGAAGTACTGTCCATTCCATCACCAGCTGCAACAGGCTCCTAATTGTCTTTTCGAGAATATCCTTTGCTGACTTTGAGTCTCCAGTCCCCTGACACCCTGTGTTGCTCTCATGTCATGTTGATCAAACAGTAAGTTAATGATTATAACCGTCTCTCCCCGTGGCTCTTTTCTTGGTGAGAGCTGGGACTGATTCTGCATTAGGTCACCATGCTTTGTGTCAGGTGCATACCTGATAAGTATTTCCAACTGAAAGCAATCTATTGACCAGGACTGTTCTCCTGATCTATTTGTTCTGTCTTTTTATTTTAAACATTTTTTGTTAATCTATTGCAACCATGCCATAATTGTCAAAGGTATTTTTGTTTGGATCTGCCTAATCATTACTGTTCAAAACTCTTATTATTTTGAAATGTAATTTCACTTGTGATTTGAATATACTTCAGTATCAGCAGGAACATATTGATTCATTCCAGGGACGCATTGCTTAAGGGCATATGTTTGGAGGGAAAAAAAACCCAAAAAACAAAAACCTCCAGGTTTGAAATTCGGAAACACTGGGTTTCAATCTCGTAGTTAAGGCCATTAGGAACGAGCCCTTTCACTTCATTTGGAAAAAGGATGGAATCTTAGATGAGTTGGAAACCACTCCAAGAAATGATCCTTTGGCCTTGGCACACTGAAAAGTCCTGCCAACATGGCACAGCGCTGCAGATGTCTGCTCTCAGCCCAATTATCCTAACTCGGGGGAAATTAATATTCACAGGAGAAGAAAACACAGCCTGTTCTGCAAAAGAGAAAAAAAAAGCAAGACAACAATAGCAGCCAGGCTGCTGTGTTGAGGAGGCAATTACCAAGAGGAACATGCTCCATTCTCACTGAGGCCCCAAGCACAGGCTGTGGAGACTGGCCAGTCTGCTCACTCCCATCCAAACCTGGCACCCATCCACAGCAACTGTTGGGAGCAGAAAGGTGCAGCATTGGCCCGTCCCTCAGAGAGATGGCCCACCCATGGCTCCACCCACTCCACATAGCAGAGATGGGGAAGGGGCAGGGGAAACTCAAGGAGCAGGGACTGCAAGCTGTTCCTTTGAGAAGATGTCACAATCAGCACAAAGGCAGGATCCTGCAGAAGATCTGGCTAGAAACGAAGAAGAGAGGTGTCGTTTGTTTTGTTTTGTTTTGTTTGTTCTTTTAGTGATGTTTCACCAAGTCGGTCCCTGATCTCTGTTTTCTAATTAGAATTAGTCTTGTAGTGCAGGACTTTTATTTTTGCATGGCTAAGACACCCGCTATGAACTTAGGTTGTTTGTATTGGCTTCGAAGTGAGTATTGACATATTAAGATCAATTGGTGAGTGAGAAGATTTTTCTTCTTTTTAAAATAAGCCTCTTCAGCATTGAATGAAAATGCAGTCCTACTTTCCCTCCCCATAAATGAGGGAGGCGGTAACAAGTTGAAGAAGAAATGTACTACCTTACTTATTTAACTGTAACTCCTCTGTCCATCACCTTGACAATAAAATTTAAAAATATATAAAAAATGCAGTCCTTAGATCAGGACACAACAACCATCATATTTCTCATGATCCTTTTTTTTATCAGTTTGTTTTATATGGTTTTATTTTTAACTCTAAAGTCAACACATGAAAAAATATACAAAGAAACATGTAAACATTCCTACCAAACCACAAGCAAAGATTGATATTTTTAAATTTTAGAATGCATCAGAATCACCTGGAAATCTCATTAAAAACTTAGACAGCTATGCCTTAGCTATGACTGAATGGTGCTGGGCAGAGCTGTAAGAATTTGCTGTTAACTTTCCAGGTGAAGCTGATAGAGCTGATCTGCAGAGCACAGGTTTAATAGTCATTGACATGAACCTGTATGTTCTTCTTCTGTCCTGGAGCCCCCTCCTGCCCAAATGTAACCCATTTCCTGATTTCTGTATTAACAATGATGTTAAACTTTTTTATTCTGGTGAAATGCAATAAGCACAACAACTAAACCTTATCCATTTCTAAATGTACAATTCATCATACTTAGTACATTAATAATGTTGCCAATCCTCTCCTCTATTTTACTCTAAAACATTTTTATCACTCACAGAAGACTCAGTGCCTATGATAAAGTTTTTAAGCCCTTTGAATACATCTTCTGGTCATTTGTCATATGCTTAAAATCCAGTTGTCTACAGAACACACTCAGCATCACCAATCATACCCTAGGAGAACTCAGTCAGTATCTAGGGAAGGCACACCCCCTTCCTGAATGCTAGACAGAGCTCATCAATTAGTATCTCTTTCCCAGCAAATTCTAGCTACCTCGAAAGGAAACAAGATGGCAGTCCCACCCTCTTGTCAGCATCTCCTGTCAGCACTGGCCTCTTGTCAGTACCATAAGCAGGGCTGCCTTCATTACAGTTTCTAGTCACCAGGGTCTGAAGGAGAACAGCGTGGTCCCCTTGCTAAGGTCAACTGCTCCACAGCCTTGCAACTCAGCTCAGCCATACCTATTATATATCTGCACATTCACAGGCTCTCTCTTTCACAAACCTCATACAAATTAGGAGGACTGGTGCTTGAGTAATAAGCATGGAAATTATGCTTCCTGGGAGAAAGGAGTGGGAAAGGTAGGGGAGGGAAGGGATGGTAGGAGAAAAACAAAGGAGGGTGTAACAATGTTCAACAAGAAATGTACTCATTACCTTACTCATGTAATTGTAAGCCCTCTGTATAGCATCTTTACAATAAAATAAAATTAAAAGAAAAAGAAATTATGCTTCATAGTACCATGGAATGATTTAAAAAACATGAATGGGTCAATGAACACCAGACAACCAGAGCTTCTCCAACTACATCTGTTATTACAGAATCTTGCAGATAATATCAAAATAGCTCCTTCTATTCTTCCTTTGTTCAGACCATATTCCTTTCTGTACCTGCCAAAACTCAACTCATGCTTTAAACCTCAGTACAAATCTAATGTCCATGAAAGGGTTTTCGGGGAAATGGAGCTGTAGTTCAAAGTGGTAGATTGCTAACCTTGAACACAAAAGCTCAGGGATATCTCTCAAGCCCTAAGTTCAAGACCCATGACTGACAAAAAGAAAAGAAGAGGTGGGGGGTTGGATACCACCATTTCATTGCAATTGGTCCCATCAATCAACATGTGAATTTTGTTCTTTCCATTTCTATGGCACATTCAACATTTACTTTGTGGAATAAGTATTTCTACAAATTGTTCTTCCCTGTCTTATTACAACTTTGTAATATTGTTCCTAGACAACATTATTGCTATTGTTTGTTTAGGTTTCGTCCAAAATGTATGTTAAAATTTAATCCCTAATTTCATAAATATTAAGAGGCAGCACTTTTGAGGAAGTGATTGGGCAATGCAGGCCTTTCCCTAGTGAAGGAATCCGTGTTTTATAAAAGGACTAGAAGGAACTCCTAGATTCTTTTTTGCCCTCTCCACTCTTGATTTAGGGCACAGAGTGAAGGTGTCATCGGGCAGGGAGCTCCCAGAGACTGAACCTGCCTGGCTCTCATCCTGGATTTCCCAGTCTCTATGGGAACTGTGAGAAATAATTTTTTCACTGTTTACAAAGTACTCACTCTAAAATGTTTTGATACAGAAGCAGAAACACTCTGAACCAGAAGTTGGTACTAAGAAGTAAGGGATTGCTCTAACAGATACCAAAATATGTGGAAGTAGCTTGGAAGTGGAGTAATGGATAGAAGCTGGAATCATTTTAAGTGAATGCTACAAAAAAAGCCTGCATTGTCATTTGTGGAGTGTTCCAGAGTGACTCAGCAGATGACTCAAGAAGAAAACTACATTCCCCTTAGAGATTATTTAAAATGCTTCTGATCACAATGATGGTATAAATACAGATGGTGAAGGCCATGCTAATTGGGTTTTAGATGAAGATGAGGAGCAGCATGTAGAAAACTATAGGAAAGGCCATTTTTACTATCAACCAGAAAAATAACTTGGCTGAACTCTCTGCATATTCTAATACATTGTGGAAGGCAACAATTATAAGCCAAGAGCTAGAATATTTGGTGGGAGAAATGGAGACATTCAGGTGCAGCAATCTTCAAGGTCCCATTGCTATAAAGACACCAATATGTAACTTTTGCCTAGAACACTTGCTGACAGTGAAACAAAAAAATCACATGGTACAGTGTAAGTACATTAAAAACAACAGCAAGAAAGATAACAACCACTTGTGTTGGTCGGTATCTTGGGGTTCCTTTCGCTTAGCATCATCTTATATGGTCATATGTACATAGCTTTTTTTTTTTTTTTAATTTTATTTTATTTTATTTGTGAACAAACTGTACAGAGGGGTTACAATTGCATGGGCAGGATAATGCGTACATTTCTTACCAAGCATTG